TGCCGCACGGCTCGACCTTAGGCTGACTCGCCAAGTGTGGGATCAGGGCCATATGACCAGCTGTTACGCCTACCCGTGACAGGTGGCCCCAGGTGTGACAACAGGGGTCATATGACCAGCTGTTACGCCTACCCGTGACAGGTGGCCCCAGGTGTGACAACAGGGGTCATATGACCAGCTGTTACACCTACCCGTGACAGGTGGCCCCAGGTGTGACAACAGGGGTCATATGACCAGCTGTTACGCCTACCCGTGACAGGTGGCCCCAGGTGTGACAACAGGGGTCATATGACCAGCTGTTACGCCTACCCGTGACAGGTGGCCCCAGGTGTGACAACAGGGGTCATATGACCAGCTGTTACACCTACCCGTGACAGGTGGCCCCAGGTGTGACAACAGGGGTCATATGACCAGCTGTTACACCTACCCGTGACAGGTGGCCCCAGGTGTGACAACAGGGGTCATATGACCAGCTGTTACACCTACCCGTGACAGGTGGCCCCAGGTGTGACAATAGAGGTCATATGACCAGCTGTTACACCTACCCGTGACAGGTGGCCCCAGGTGTGACAACAGGGGTCATATGACCAGCTGTTACACCTACCCGTGACAGGTGGCCCCAGGTGTGACAACAGGGGCGCCCCAGGTGTGACAACAGGGGTCATATGACCAGCTGTTACACCTACCAGTGACAGGTGGCCCCAGGTGTGACAACAAGGGTCATATGACCAGCTGTTACACCTACCCGTGACAGGTGGCCCCAGGTGTGACAACAGAGGTCATATGACCAGCTGTTACACCTACCCGTGACAGGTGGCCCCAGGTGTGACAACAGAGGTCATATGACCAGCTGTTACACCTACCCGTGACAGGTGGCCCCAGGTGTGACAACAGAGGTCATATGACCAGCTGTTACACCTACCCGTGACAGGTGGCCCCAGGTGTGACAACAGGGGCTATATGACCAGCTGTTACACCTACCAGTGACAGGTGGCTCCAGGTGTGGGATCAGTGCCAACCAACACACCCATCACTGACAGGTGGCCTATGCTTGTAAACTCGTACTGGTGAAACCTGTCAGGAGACAATCACGGGAGAGGTCGTGTGGGAGGTCCAGGGACCCCGTGGAAGCATCGGGAGGACCCGCCATGATGGTCGTGGTGTACTGTGACCCAGCAACGGTGATGATCGTGGTGATAACCTGCTGGATACCTGTTGGATGGGGTTCTGGGAGTTGTTCTACTTCCCAAGCCCGGTCCATGGCCAGGCTTGACTTGTGAGAGCTTGGTCCAACAGGCTGTTGCTTGCAGCGGCCCGCAGGTCCCACATATCCACCACAGCCCGTCATAAGGTTATGACTTGCAGACCAATAAACTACCGCTGCCGTTAACGGAATATCACTGATAATACCACTGGAACACCCACCAATTCTTCTATGGAACTTGTTGTCACTATACATTTGGAAAATGAATTTGTATACGCCTATATGAAAACAAATGCCAAATAGGCCGTTTGTGCCATGGAGTTTGAGTAGTAGTGACGTATATTAATATACCAATATAATTATGACATTTTGTATTGCTTGTGTCGGCTAGATCATAGCGCGTTGTTGTTATTGATGACGTGTGAGGCATGGGGGAATACCTTGTCTTTATCAGAGGGGTCTGGGGACTCTGAACTAACACAGGAACAACCGCGTGCTCTTTTGACTCACTCACTCACTCACTCACTCACACACACACACACACACACACACACACACACACACACACACACTCTCTCTCTCTCTCTCTCTCTCTCTCTCTCTCTCTCTCTCTCTCTCTCTCTCTCTCTCTCTCTCTCTCTGCGCATTAATCTCTACAACGCTCTCCGGGTGTGGGAGGTGTACTGGGATTAGGGAGGTGTATGGGAAGTGGGGAGGGAGGTGTACTGGGTGGGGGGGAGGTGTACTGGGAAGTGGGGAGGGAGGTGTACTGGGAAGTGAGGAGTAAGGTATGCTGGGGAGCGGGGGAGGGTTGATATCGGTGATTAGTTGTTTACGGATGTTGAGACGGGACAGAGGGGTGGTTGTTAGTGGGGGTAGGAAGGGTACCACGTCACACCCCTCTCTCTCCCTCCCCTCATTCACCCCTCAAGGCCGTTCCCCTCACGACCCTACGGGCTGCCACTCACACTTTGCGTCTCACTCATGCTCTCTTTCACGGGCTTCCCGGCAGCACTGGTGTCCCTCACCACCTGTCCCCACACGCACCTGGACGTGAACAATTCTCTCGAGCAAAAAGGAGTGTGAAACCGAAGAACATGACGCTAGCTTGCGGTGTAAAGTGGGGAAGCAAGAAATATTAAAAAACAGTATTTGACAAATGCTTTCCTTTCAATGTGGGATTTAGTATTCTATACATTTATAATATATCTAAGATGGACACAGCGTCTCAGTTAATGGTTCATGCCGCACATCTGTGCCCGGTGAGTACGACGGGCTCACCATAGCCCGTGCTGCTTGGAACTTTTAATTCCGTTTAGCTGAATCTAAAAACAACATGGTTCAGGCGGGGGTCACTTTCCCCTCGCGGATTCTACAACTACGCTGCTCACCTGCTGTTTCCATCCAGAATCTCCATAAGAACTCCAAATTCGTTTTGGGTACTTATACCCAAAACGAATTCTTGTAATTACTGATTTCTCTACCTCGGTCACCTTATTGTCGTGCATAATGATAGAGGTTGGGAGAGCTGCAGCAGTTACAGCCCCGCTCCTGTGCCAGACAAGTCCACTACGGGCTCACCATACCCCGTGCTACTTGGAACTTTTTCTTCAGAGTTGAATCTAAAACAAGACCAACACAACGAGAGCTGCAACAGCCTTGTACCAGAGTTCATATTTACTGACGCCCTTCTAATGTTCTATGTTTACCTTGACACAATTCTGCTATCTGATGTTTCCTGTGATGTGTAGAAGGGTCTCAAGGATACACTATTCAATATGATCTCCAACATCCTCAACAAGCAACAATTCATTTCGTTCAGTCCTATAGATTCTAACACGTGACGAAATCCCCCCAAAAACTTTATCGTCCTTACCCGATTGGTTAGTTAGCACATTCACACTTTTCTTAACTTCAGCGAATGTGAAGTTAAGAAACTTCCTGTGTAGGTCTATTTTTTGAAGGCTTTGTAGTGTGGGTGTTGAGTCAGTGAAGCGTAAAGGCGCCAGAGCCACACTTAAAGAACACTGTATGAACATCGGAGCTCCACGACTATTCAGTACCATCCCATCAGGCATAAAAAATATTGCTGAAACAAAAGTGGACTTCAAGAAAAACTTGATACGTTCCTAAGAGAAGTGTAAGATATGATATGTATTTTTTTAACAGAAGGCTTCTGACTCCTATTAGCAGATTGAGAGCTTTCCCTTCCCATAGCTCATAGTAAGCTTTACCTACTATTTATCCCTGGAACACCAGTCAGTAAACAATCGGGTACCCAATCACTGCTGGGTGAATAGACGTGAACAGTTAAAAGATTGGCGCCTATAGTTAATCCTCCCTGGCCAAGACTCTAACCCAAACCAAATCGTTGGCGAGGAGTCCACCAGGGGCGAGTGTGTTCCTACTGCGCCACTCAACATAAATGTTTAGGCAGAAGGGAGAGATAGGTTACCAAGGACAGTCACCCCATCGTTTATAGACTCTGCAAGACACTTAAACCATAAGAAGAACAGCACACAAAACAAATACAGTACTTGTAAAACAAGGCAGATTAGAAAAATGTGCATTATAATAACCCCCACATTGTTTGAGGCAGGACAGAAATTGATCAAATATAGATGTTATCCTCAAAAGGTTTCCAAAAAACCTCAAAACCTCAAAAGGTTTCTTTGCACTCACAACATAACGTAAACTTGAGGGTTGTAATCTCTTGTTTGACAGTCTGTTCACTCGAGACAGTTAAGCAAGTCCCAGCTGTGTCTGGGTACAAGTGACAGGATGAACAACCCAGCGGGTTTTCTTCCTATTGCGGGGTGTTGTACTTGCTGCTATGGCGGTGTGTCCACTCACAGGATAAGTGAGGACGCTGCCCAATAAACTAGCCCTCTAGGACAAAATTAAAAATAAATTATATGGTTTTCCGCTGCCGGGGACAGGAAACCTATTAGGCTTATCAAGGTTTCCCCTTGACCAACTACTGACCTTCGCCAGGATGCTTCCCCCAACATGATTGATCCCGCCAGAGGCTGCTGGTTGATGGTGCACCCCATACTCTTCCTGTGAGCGGTAGTGTATTGTGCACCCCATACTCTTCCTGTGAGCGGTAGTGTATTGTGCACCCCATACTCTTCCTGTGAGCGGTAGTGTATTGTGCACCCCATACTCTTCCTGTGAGCGGTAGTGTATTGTGCACCCCATACTCTTCCTGTGAGCGGTAGTGTATTGTGCACCCCATACTCTTCCTGTGAGCGGTAGTGTATTGTGCACCTCATACTCTTCCTGTGAGTGGTAGCGCAAAAAGGACAACAGAGCGCAAACTCGGAGCTCTTACAGAGTTTTTAACCAGAGTTCAGCAGAGATTTTTACATTAACAATTACACCTAACTTGCACACCTTACAGTTATACTGACACCTAGCTACAACTAATTGTCATTATGTTATGTACTTACAATAAATTATTATACATTGATGATCAAAATATGGATACATTGCAAGGGTTTCAGATATTTTATCATTTGGGATAATATGGTTTGCCATTTCATGCAGTGAGAGTTTAAACTTATCTCTAAATGGAGTTTAAGGTGTAATCTAGTTACTAGTGTGCGTCTATCCCTGTCATTATCCACATGCTTCACACACACAATTGACCAAACAATACTGGTCAATTCCACCAGTTGATTGACAGTTGAGAGGCAGGGCCAAAGAGCCAAAGCTCAACCCCCGCCAGCACAACTAGGTGAGTGCACTCACCACATATGTATTATGAGAGAGATAATGTGTGTTGTGTTTTCAGGTTGGCGGGACAGGCGACATGGGAAACAAGGCCGGGGCTCAGAGCCAGTCAGAGGAGGAGGCTGATGTGGTGCCTGCTGCCAGAGTGCCGCCCCTCACCTCTCACCCAGGTAGGTGCCCGCCCCTCACCTCTCACCCAGGTAGGTGCCGCCCCTCACCATCTTCCAGCCCTACGTTGTGTCACCTTCCAGCCCTATGTTGTGCCTACCTCGTGGTGGTTCTGAAGATCAACGTTCCTGCGGCCCGGTCTCTGACCAGGCCTCCTGGTTGGTTATCTGGTCAAACAGGTTGTTCACAGCCAGATATATGAATCACAGCCTGGTTGATCAGCTATTCTTTGGAAGTTACAAAATTGTTCAGCTTTGGTTATACTGTCTTCCAGCCCTGGTTGCACTATCTTCCAGTCCTGATTGAACTCTCTTCCAATCCTGGTTTTATTAATCATACTGATCCCCAGTTCACCACCCTGTCCCCAGTTCATCACCCTGATCTCTGTTCATCTCCCTGGTTCCTCTTCATTACCTTAGTCCATATTTACCATCCTGGTCCCTGTTCATCATCATGGTCACCCTTCACCCTGGCTTCTGTTCATCAGGCTCCCTGTACACCACCCTGGGCCCCCTGTTCATCAGACTGGTCCATATTCATCAGCCTGGTCCCTGTTCATCAGCTTGATTCCTGTTCATTAGCATGATACCTGTCCATTACCATAGTCCCTGCATGATCACCATCCCTGTAGTCTACCCATCATCATATAGTTTGTCTCCTCAAAGAGTGCTGGTCGTTTGCTCAATTTATGTTTGACGAGCAGATAATTACTCTTCCCATTGCTTGAACACAGCCACATGGTCACTGGAGTCTGATTGCTCTACCTGTTCTTACTTATTCTTTGCTCTCCATTTGTTTTTACTTCCTTGTTCCTCACTGCATTTTTCCATTTTCATTCAAATGTAACCAAAACTTAAACTGACATACAGCATCTCCATTTTTAAAATAGTCATTGCTGCTATTGTTAATTTTATCCAAATAATTATTGTGTTTTCCATGTTTAAGTATACTGTATATAGAGTATATATCCTTTGTGTGTGTGTTTTCTTGTCTCATAAGTAAGGGGGACCTCAGTTAATATAAGAACATGAGAATAAAAGAAACTGCAAAAGGTAACTCCTTTTTACAGCCACCCAAACTTATTCATACATATGTCTAACTTAGGCTTGAAACAATCCTGCGATTTCGCGTCCATCTTGTCACCCGGCAACCTATTCCCCCAAAACAACAACCCAGTTCCCAACCACAAAGTGTGTCAAAGATGCAGTCAAACTATGGGCGAGTGATGTATACTGCAGTGATGTGACATTACATTTCAGGCAGTGCTTCTGGAACAAGTCGATCACTGTCAGTGGAAAATGGTGAGGAAGGTGAGTTGGAGATGGAGCTACCGCCCCCCATGAAGGTATTTGACCAGCCTATGTCTGCGGCAGCTGCCCAGGGGGTCCCTGGTCCTACCACAGTGGCCTCAGGCCCCCCAATACCACCTCTCGACAATATTCTTCCTGATGCCCCCAACAGAGTAAGTGAATCTAGCTTTACCCAGTACTTGTACCTCCAATGCTAGGCCCACAGGTTTTGTGAGTTGTCTAGTATATTACCTTATTGTAATGCATTACTTCAGCACATCTGAAGTCTTCAGTTAGATGCATTTGATTGGAAAGCATGTTGGAGAATCTTTGGGGGATGTCTGTAGTATGTTGCCAATTTTTTAATGAATTTATGAAAACCTGACAAGTCTATGAAAGGTTGTACCTCAAATTCGCCTTGTACATTTGTTTTGTCTTGACATTGGATGGGGGTTGTAGATGCCCCTTCATACCAAAGTGTAGAAATCAAAGGACACTGGTTATTTAGTGTTGATATTGTCTCTTACAAGGCAACTAACTTTGCGCCTCTTACAAGGCCCATCCAACTCACTGAGACTATGATCTGGTTTATTGTTATGTAAATACAAGTCATGTCTATTAAAAAATCAAGCTGAATTTTATTTCCTGTGGAGGCATCAAATTGAAATTGGTTATTTATTAAAGAGTATTGCTAGTGGTATTAAATTATGATAACTGTTAATAATGTTAACTCAGAAGCATAGTCTGTAGTATCTCTTAGGTATGTAATACCTTATACTGTAGAAATGTAGTACTAAATAACTAACATCTTAGTCAGGTTTGATCTGTATCTTGAAAACTTTCATTATTATACATTAGATATTAGCAAGAAATATTTATCACTGAATGTCACCCCAGAGAACCACCAACTTCATGGAATATATTCAGTGTTTAAAGCACAATATTTTCTCTGTAGATTTCATATGAACTTTGAAAATGTATCCATGAGTGGATACCAGCAATATACCTTTTATCAGATATGTGCAGGGAAAAGTATTTTGGTTGTAAAAGAGAGTATTTCCCATGGATAATGGTGTGTTATTTTGGATCTTCATTCATGATTTAACACAAATAAAAGAGTGTTGGTCATTTGATAAAAGTATTAGTTATAATTGATGTAGATTCGTCACTGTAGGCTGAGTTGGGACATTAATAGGAAAACTGGCAAGAGCATGCTAGTGAGTCATAACATGCCAGTAGACAACTGTTGTTGACATTGGTCTTGTGTTTTTGTACCTGTTGACAATTTCGAGAGTTTTCCTACTCCCACAGTCTGGTCTGTGGCCAGCCTTCTCTAGCAACAACATGGCTTGTGAAGCTGTTTATCTTTGTAGCCCAAAGACGCACATAGCTAATTCTGGGCTAATCCTAAGCTAATCCCGGGCTAATCCCAGGCTAATCCTGTAACTCTTGCAAAAACACATCCAGTTCCCTTCTGAAAGCTTCGAGTGTGTTTCTAATTATGTTTGACACACTGACTTTTTGTTTTTATTTTGGTGTATATACCACTTGGTCTCCTTTCTCCCTTTTCTATTTTCATTACCTTACACTTCCTGGGTTTTAAATCTAGCAGCCTTTTGTTTGCCCACTCCTGAAGTTTGTCAAGGTCATTTATGTGCCAACTCCTGAAGTCAGATCCTCATAATTTTCTGCAATCTAATTATTTTTTCACATTCCTCATTAGCATTGCATCATCTGCAAACTTTGACATATATGAGCACTCTCTCAGATAAATAATTCACATATAGTACTTTAGAAACAGTACTGGTCCCAAGACTGACCATTGGGGGACCCCACTTGTCACATCCCCCCCCCCCCTCTTGATATGTCTCCTAACTGTGACCCTTTGTGTTCTTTAAGTAGTCTGTTACCCAGTTCAGTGTCTTCCCAATTATCCTAGCTTGCTTCTCCACATTATACACCATGATACAGCCTATCCAACCAATATTTTTCTATCATGTTTTGAAAACTTTTGTCATACAACTCAGTTAAGTTTGTCAGGCATGACATTCCCTATCAGGTTTCCATGCTGCCTTTCTGTTACAAAGTTCATCCTCTCCAGGTGCAAAGTACCTCTGAATCCTCCTTTGACAAATTCTTTCTTTTGAGGTTCATTTCTCTCAATTTCCCCTCTTCCCTCAATATAGATACTCTGAGTCCATCACTTCTCTCAAGGCATGCTTTTAGATGCTCAAGTCACTCTTGTGTTTATTTCTCTCTCAAATGAATTTTCTACAATTTCCTTCCTGGTGAAGCTACCTCTGCTTGCAGCACTCCTGACACTTCCATTGCTTTCTCTCCTTATTAAGTGCTTTTCTCCTCTAATTAGTACCTCTGTATTCTTCAACCTTGCTATGTACATATTTCAGCTCCTCTTTCATACATACCTCTAGTGATGTTAACATATTCCATGCAGTTATGTTTATTTCTCTTGGAGTCCTTTTGCCGATTGTTCACTGTTCCTGCTCTGTCACTAGCATCTCCCACTTTCAATATCTTTCCAATTGCTCTCTGGTTTATCTCACAAAGTCATCTCATTTCTCGATCTACTTGAAGTTTTTTGTTATCTTTCTCAGAAAGACATGTTTAATGCATATTTTATATGCTTCTGCATTTATGTCTATGCCTTGTGTTGAAGTTTAAGGGTTTAGTACTGCTTCCCAGTAAATGCTAGAAAATTCATATCATTGATTCTTTCTTTTAGCTCAGTGATGTTGTGGTCTAAGTCATATTCAAGATTGTGATATCCCTGATTAGTTTATTATTTGTAAAGATCTGGTAAAGTGTGTTATTCCCTCTAGTTGGTTCACTTATCTGATATTTCAGCATGAAATTGTCACAGTCTCATTAGCTCTCTGATGTGTGCTTCCTGACAGTTTTTCTACTATAACATTATCTATCATCTTCCGCCTCAAAGTTGCTGATTAACAGAAAATCAGAGATGGATTGTTCAATGCTCAATTTTTCTACTATAACATTATCAATCATCTTCCACCTCAAAGTTACCGATTAACTGAAAATCAGAGATGGACTGATCATGTTGAACAAATGTATGATAGACTGGTGAAGAGAGAAAATTGTAGTTATTTTGAGGATAGGAGATGGCAAAGAAGGTAGGCTGACATGGTGTGTGAAGAAGTAGAAATTCGTTAACTGTGCTAGATGTAATAGAGGGAAGTGTTTGTGTAAGACACAAACATGTGGTTTAGTTGCAAGATATGGTTAATAGACAGGTGTCATTTTTTATTTTTTACAGGTAACAGTTTGATGATTCTGTGTATTAGATGTTGTGGTGGTAAACAATAGAGTTTTATGGGTGAGATAATTCTAATCAACACCGGGCATGTTGGATGCTGCTGTTGACATCTGATATTGGGTAATTCTGGTTGATAGCTGGAATGTTGGATAATCCTGGTGGATAGGTTGCTAATATGTTGGAAATCTTGGTCGGTATCTGGTGTGTTCGGTAATTCTGGCCGACAGCTGGTGTGTTCGGTAATTCTGGCCGACAGCTGGTGTGTTGGATAATCCTGGTTGTTAGCTGGTGTGTTGGTTGAAGGTGGTTGACAGATCCCATTCCCCTACAGTCATCGAGTGTAGCCCTGAAGACAACGGAAGGGACCACGACAGACCTGGCCACGGAGATAGAGAACATTGTCAAGGAGAAGATGGTGAGCACTCAGTGGTCAGCAATGCATGGTCCACTAGTAGCATTTTCCCTGCATGCTCTTACGCTACCTCACATTAAGTTTTTTCCTTAATGTCATTACTACATAGTTACACGAGGCACGAGGTTAAGTTAATATTAACCACCAAGTTTGTAAGCGTTTGATGGAATTTATAATTTTGTTTATTTTGTTCTAATTGGATTTGATTTCATTTCGGATTTGATCACTACTAATCTGGTCAGCCTTGTATCTCACATTTGTTTAGCCATTTCAGTTTTCTTAAAGGATGGTGTACCTTTGTTTTCTTTTTATGCATGAACTAGTAGCATTTTTAATGTTTAATGGGCACTCTTATTATGTATCAAAATGCACATACTGTGGTTGTTCTATTTAGTTCGTTGTATTATCACCGAATAATAAAGTTATGTACGACAAGAGTCCCATTAAACACTGTTCTTTTCTAAATATCATTGTAAATTTTCTGTGTTAATACTTCATGGAACAGTAACATTTTCTAACATGAGTGGGCCCACATTACAGCAGCTATTATATTTCTTTTACCATTTTGTTTTCTGCTATCAGTACTAGTGTTTCAGCGGCAGCAGTATTAATAGTAGTAGTAGTCTACAGCAGTAGTACAGTAATAGTTATTCTGTGTGTATAGTAGCTATTTTTTCTGTTTATAAACATTTTTAGTAATAATTTGCTTCTTGTGCGTAAGGTTGGAATTTAATTGATCACTTCTTACAAATAGTCTATGTATTGTATACGTGAATTCAGTACAGTAGTGTACTTCATGTGTGATGATTTGGGCTTTTTCACATTTTGAATTGCTTTAACTCTCTAACTGTGCAAGAAAAAATGTCTGAAAAAACTTTTTTGTTAATTAATATCCAGAAAGCACTAAAATCCAAGTAAAACAGTCTACCTACTGTATCGTGGTTTAAATGTACTGTAGTAGTGGCCGGAAAAGTTGCGTTTTTTTGGTTAAAATGAGGTGAGATGCCGCACAGAAATAACTTGGTCCATTTTCATTTTCATTTTTTTTTGCTCACATGTTTCATTCACGTGCATTAGTGATACAGTATGCATTATGTATACTGTGGAAATATATATGTATGTACAGATATGCAGGTACTGTATGTGTATAAATACTGTATATGATGCATGCTGTATTTATTCATATTATTTATTTTTTGTGAATACAAAACACACACACACAAACCTAAATCTATATATAAGCCTAAATCTTATAAATGCACATAGCACACATTTTGCCTGCAAATATATGCCTGTACATGGAAATTACTCATTTGCTACTGTTTAAAGTTCAGTGGTTCCTAGCATGTCTGCCTTGCACATTGTCACTGGATGGTGATGCCCCAGACATTGTCCTTATATTTTTACTAAGGCCCTTGGAAGGATAATTAGGGACTCAAGGATTTTTTTTTAAATACAGTATAGCAAACAATTGGCATATGTCTCTAGTGTCGAAAACATCACCCTAGAATGTGTGGGGCTTTTGAATAAAATGAGGCTCCTTAAATCATCTACAGGCAACTGGGTCAATCACTCTCAAGTGATTAGAACAGTGTAAGGGTTAAGTCATTAGTGGAATAATATCCTGTACAAAAGCATGCATTACTATTGGTATATTGGTTAAGTGTTTCCAGAATATATTTAGAGTATATATACTGAACAGGTATATATGAAATTAGTATTATTATATTGAGTTAACTATATTGGTATTTATTGTTAATATTTATGACAGATGTGGTTTATGTATACTTGTAGGATTTTGTTAATGAAAATAATATATAAACTTAGAGTAGTTATATAATAAATCATCAGAGAATAAAAAAAACTAACAATACCACAGATATACCAGTACAGATATCAGATTACAGTACAGTGGCTACTTAGTAGGTTCAGGTTTTGTATATTCTGTGAAAATATCCACAAATTGATTACATAAGCATAAGCAACATGTGGACTTCAGAGTGGACAGCACTTTGGATTCGTAGTCCTAAGGTTCTGGGTTCGATTCCCAATGGAGGCGTCAACAAATGGGCAGTTTCTTTCATCCTGATGCACCTGTTCACCTAACAGTAAATAGGTACCTGGGAGTTAGACAGCTACTATGATCTGCTTCCTGGGAGTGTGTAACAAAATGGAGGTCTGGTCAAGGACTGGGCTGCAGGGACGCTAAGCCCCAAAATCATCTCAAGATAACCTCAAGAAGATAACATTGATAAACAAGCATTGTAACACTGCAGTTCTCCTGGTGTTGTAGCCTACTCCCCCCCTCCACCCTTCCTATCCTCTCTTCAACCCTGGTTTCCCCCTCCCATCCACACTATTACTTCCTCCCCCATTCCTCTTCCTTTACCATTTATTTCCAATTTTTTTCTTCCCTCCCTCACCCCCCTCTCCTTCATCCCCCTTGCCATAATCCCTCCCCCATTCCTCCTCCCCTTCCTTCCTTCTCCAGTTATCATCACTGGATTTCTTTTCTTAGAAATTGTAGAAACACAAGCTATGGAATTCAAGCTATTGCAACAAAACTTTATGATCAGTTGTGCATTTTTCATTCACAGTATTACTGTCTTTAACAGTTTAATGTATAATCATTTTGTTTTTTTAAATTGTTGTTTAATAGTTATTCATTAATATACAAACTTATCTGTTAAGAAGTGAAATAAATAGTTGTTTGATAACTGTGCTCGTTATCTTTATATGTATCAAGGTTGAGTTGTTCATTTGTGATTGCTGCAGTTTCCTGAAAGCTGCAGGGTTATCACCACCACCTTGACTCTTGCTGGTTTTCTCTCACATTTGTTCTCGATTTTCATTCTCAAACTCTTGCATCAAACCAGTGAATCTACCATACCAGAAAATTTAATAATTCATATTACCAATATAATTTTGAAACAAGCAGAATCGTGTATTTTTTTACATTATACAGTGAATTTCAGCTTAAACAGAACTTGTTATAACGTATACGTTCTGTACCATACCAGAAAGAGAGGCAGCAGAGGGAGAATTTCATTCTGGAACAGTAGTATGATCATTATATTTTAGTATAGTGGAAAATAACAAAAGACATCAGGTGGAGTGAGCTCATGTAATCACTGGATTGAAATTTGATGTTAAAAAAAGATAAAAAATTATAAACAAATTAAAAATTTTACCTAGTGATTTTTATATCAAATGTTGGAAAATTTTTTGACTGATTTGTACTGTTAAAAACACAATTACGTCTGTTATAAAATAACAAAAAATTAAAGACAGCAACAACCTGCAATTTTTGCAGAAGGGTCCATTACAAATTTTGGCTTCAGTCAGCAGTACACTGTGTATATACTCCCATATACACTATAAAATACATATATGCATTTATCAGTTGTGCACCAACAAACAACATGAGTAAATGAACAAATCCACAAGGGCCGTGACGAGGATTCGAATCCTCGTCACGGCCCTTGTGGATTTGTTCATTTGATGCATCACGTTAGTGTGATCTCTGTGTGTAACAACATGAGTAGATAGAAAAATTATTTTTGGATAGACCATAAAATAAAGTACTGTACTGCATTACGTGAGTGAATAAGAGAAGTCACTGAAAATAATTGCGAGTACCTGATGCTTGGTTTTATGAATGCATGATGAGAATATTTTTCAATTCTTGGCTACTACAGTACTGTATAAAATAATTGGAGATTAACAATGTTGTAAACAGACTTCATGAATGTCAAAGTGATATAAAACTTATGATAATTTAATGAAGTGACTAAATAGGGAGAAAATAGAAGGATTGAGATAACTCTTAGCTTAGCTAATAATTTTAGCTTCTGTAAAGCTAAAAATAGCAAATTAACACTCGTATGCACTCTTCATTTATGTGTCAATTACACATTTCCAGTTTTTATTTATGGAAAACAATAATTTCAGATATAAATATTTTAAATACAAGTTGAAAAATGGAAGCAAATAAAGAAAATTCCATCAATGATTCAACCAAAAATACTTTTTCACCTCCAAAGTTAACTCGGGGTTTGTCCCAGAGCTTTGAGAAAAAATTCAGGAAAACTTTAAGCTGGTGCAAACAGCATATTTCAGGAATAACATCCCTTGATTTATCCTCCATTCTGGTGAATGACCACCCAAACACAAGGCAACGTACATATAGCGAGAGAACAACAAGAAACGAGAAAACTACTGTCTGGCATATAGAAAAAACTGCAAGCTGTCATGTAAGATGTTTATGAAAACTATCCTGGGTTCAGCAATAGAACTATAGTACAGTATTTCTGAACAACAGTTTTGTATTCAGTTTATCTCTAAGGTAAGATCTGTTCTGGCTTCTAAACAATAATCAAGACAGACAAGTGACATTTTTCACCCTGGCACCACTTAATACTTCTCAAGTAGTTTCTGTAGTTATTAGTTACCAGGTGATGATTAGATTAGCTTAATCCAGTCCTGGATAACTAGAAGAGGAATATGTTTTTTATCATGTATCGTTGGCATCAAGGCCAAACATACATAGTTCATTCACTTTCATGTTTATCCATATAAGCCATAGTTTTTATCATGTAAGCACAAGTGAATTTGAAGTGTTACTTAATTTTTTGGCACAAAAATCATGGTATCTATTTCCACCATAATTTTATTGATACTTAAGTTGGGTACAGGTCAGCCATGAAGACACTGTGCTTGTTAGTGACTTGCACCTTTTTTGTGACTGCATACAGTTAAGTTGGCTGTAAAATGCAGCAAGTTGGATATGACTCTGGTAATGATGATTTGTATTCCTGCATGCGACCCCTAACTTCCAACATCAACTGTACCCTTATCGTCATTGTCATCCTCACACTCTGGAATTACTCTTTGATGAAGTTTTGGTCACCCCTACCACTTGCAGGTGCCGGTGGGCATGGTCAGCAGCAGGTGAGCGATGACCATCTGCAGATTGGTCATGACCAGCTACAGCTCAGAGGCCAAGAGAAGTTTTCAGTAGTGTAGGGTGCCGTGTGGTATCATTTTGACCATCCTCCCTCTCCTCAGTGCCCAATAACATACGGTAGCCCACTCATACGAGCTGGGTCATGATTAGCTTTAGGCGAATGTGGATGATGAAATGGTCGACTGAAAAAAGTTGGTGGTATACCATCTGGTGTGGAATAATCACATGGCATTGTGTCATCAAAGTGATCACAACTGACCAACCATACCACTTGCAACCTGTCCCACACTTTGCAGTATCACTGCCATCAATAAAAAAAATTAAACCTATATGTTTGAATATAAACCTATATGAAGTCAAAATCATTCATAAGTGGCATTTTTATCACTTTCAATCATGATGTTGTCCAAAATGTCGGTAATAACCTAGTCTCTCGGCTGCTTTTGGCAGGCTGGTTTCGTGAAAAGTAAGTGCACATCCACTTTCCATGATCCCTGTGTTAGCACAGAGAATGGGATTTTTTCCCTCTCAGGCATCTGAGTGTCAAAGATATCGGTGAATCTGGATTGTAAATATAAATCTGCTAATGAGTGTTTTCTTCCTTTCACATGTCAGTACTATATGTCTATACAGTATAGTAATTGTATTACACAATGGCCCTGTATTCAGGGAAAAGCCAGATTTAAGCTTATGGAGCAGCTGGATAGGTTAAAACCCTGCAGGGACAGCTTGAAAAGTTCCTAGCAGTGTTGGTGCTGAGAATGTTACCTACTTAACTCTCATGATCCTTGTTCAGATAATCCAACAGATCTTGCCTAATGGGGCAATCAAATGGTATTGCTCAGAAAGGTGCTTTTCATATTTACTCAAAGCTGTATTTTTAAATATGAAATCTTGGCATTGGTAATGAAAAAAGTTGTCATTAGAAATAGAATTTAAAACTTTAAAAATAAAAACATCACTGTTCATTAGCTATTTAAAGTTCATAAGGAAAACATGAGGAACTTTATGTTTGTATAACTAGTTTAACTACTGTATTATAACTTCAATAATAACAGTTTAATTTCTTTCAACAGGAACAGCATTCTGAAACTAGTGAACGCTTGAAAGAATGGAGAAGTTCAGGAGATGGGTGCTCTGGTGATGAAGCCTCGTCTCCCTTACCCTCTCAAGGTGCTCTCTTAACCTCTCAACTGTCAGATGATGCCGATTTGGGGGCCTCAGCCCTACCTCATTCACTTCTTGTACAAGATTCTAGTCCGGGTTTGTATCTCCTAGAAGGTTTTGTAGTTAACTTTTGACTTAATTCGGAAAATTATATTTTTTAGAAATCTTACAAAGTGTAAAATTTTGATGAAAAAGAAATTCAGCTCTATGTATGGCATTATCATTTCTATTACCATTTCATTAGGCCTACTTTAAAATATATCTGCAGGTGATTGTGATATGACAAAAGAACAGCGAGAACTTCATAAACGACAATTTGTAATTGCGGAGTTGGTGGAAACAGAACGTCTTTATGTCCGAGACCTAGCAGATGTAGTTGAAGGTTATATCATAGAGATGCGTAATCCAGAGTCAGAGGTAAAAATGCCAGAAGACCTGAAAGATGGGAAGGACAAGATGGTATTTGGAAATTTGGAAGCCATTTATGAGTGGCATAGAGAGTAAGTGCTTATTATGTTATGTTTTATGTTACTGTACTTATTACAGTACTAATGCTTTATATAAGAGGTTATTTCATTATGAATCCATTAATCTTTATATACCTATTACATTTCCAGCTTCTTTATGAAGAACATAGAACGATGTTTAGAACACCCAGAAGAAATTGGAGGAGTTTTCCAACGCAGTGAGAAGAGGCTTCAAATATACATAAAGTACTGTCAAAACAAACCTACATCCGAATATATTGTATCTGAGTACTCCAATTATTTTGAGGTATGTAATGGTGATGGTTTAGTGTTGCTTAGTATGGAAGCCTTCACTGTATGAAAGTTGTTGTTGGGTCACACAGAGTACTGTAAGCCGAGATATCTAATTTTTAGTTCTAGTCCCATTCAGGACAAGATATCGAGAAAATTTCCTTATATGGTAGTAAATAGGTACCTTGGAATTTAAGAAAAGGAACATTAAAAAAAAAATATATATATATTTGCACAATTTCTATATACTGTAATCTAATGGAAGTAAACCTTGAATGTTGCCCCTATTTATATAAAACAAAAAAATGTAAACAGCACATACAGATGCCCTTTATTTTTAATACATCAAAATATATTGAGCTCACCTGAAATTTCAAGACACTCAGGGCCAGGCTTTTAAATCTCTCATATACTGGTGAGCAAAATAATATTTTGAAAACTGATTTCTCTTCAGGAACTGAGACAAAAATTAGGCCACAAGCTCCAGTTACCAGATTTATTAATCAAGCCAGTGCAAAGACTGATGAAATACCAACTGCTCTTGAGAGACATCCACAAACATACAGAGAGAGCTGGACTACAACAGGAAGCAGAGAGCATCAAAAGAGCGCTGAACATCATGATTGTTGTACCAAAAGCGGCCAATGACATGATGAATGTTGGACGGTTACAAGGTTTTGACGTAAGTAGAGGTGTCTTGAATATAACAGTTTATATAATTCATACAGGAGTCCTCTTTATAATGTAGTAGTTATTTCATTTAGTACACTCATTTAACCACCCACCAAGGGTGAGGGAGGTCTTGTTTACTGTGATATCAATCTACAATTTGTGGTTTGTGGTTTTCTTCATCCATATATTGAAAGATTTGTATACAGTTTTTCATCTACTTTGTTGTTTCTAATTTGGCAGGGTTTAGATATCATGAAGACCCATTAATAGTTAGTAAGGAAGTATATGGAAACTAAGTCACTAACTTCATTTGTTAAAAATAATGATATGAACATTTTCTAATTTACAGGTTTAGGAAAGGAATTCAAGTCTAGGATTGAACTTCAGATCAGCGGGTTGTTCTGTGTAATTACCTAAGTGTAATTACACAGAACAATGTGTATTAATTACAGTTTTTAATTTTTTACAGTTTTTAATACAGTTAATAATTAATTACAGAACAATTACAGTGTTACAATTACAGTTACAGTTAATTAATTACAGTTTTTAATACAGTTAATAATTAATTACAGAACAATTACAGTGTGTGTTTGATTCTTTGCTTCCTTTAAAAACTCATTGTTCCTAATGGGACAATAGATGGCAAAATGTCTAGTTTCATTTATCTTTTTTTTCCAGATAATAACCGTTACAAATATTTTTTTTTTTACTAATTATCTGTATTTTTCCTTCAGGGCAAAATTATGTCTCAGGGCAAACTCCTGCTATATGGCCCATTGTTGTGTTGTGAAGGAACATCTGGTCACAATTTCCGAGGGAAAGATTTAATGGTGTTTTTGTTTGAACAATCCATCATCTTTTCTGAAAGTGGTCGGAAGAAGAACCAATTTTCTAATCCAGTTTATGCATATAGAAGCCATTTACAGGTTAGTCATAAATTAGTAAATATTTGTCAGCACAGAGTTCTTTGTACAGTAGAAGCCAGAGATGATTGGAAATTTGTTGAAGCACTGTTGGTTCAGTGTCACTAACACTGATTCACTGTTGATAACATTGGTCCAGTGTTGCTCCAACAGAATGTACTTGCTGCAATATTCATCTGTATGTACTGTATATTTAATATACAAGTTCAACTTTTTTATATACAATCTTTCGGGAATGGTGGGGAATTTGACGTTCCTGTCATTCCAGTTACACCTCTTAACATGCTCTTGTTTCCCACCCTTGCTTCCTTTTAGCAGTCCATGATGGATAGCTCCCATACCTTATGTTGTTTTTACTTCTCTTTGTCAACTAACACCTTTCACTTAACTCGGTTATTCTTGTCTAACATATCTGTGTCATACACTCTCCTCTCTTCTCCTGCTGTGCTCTGCTTAAAGCAATATCTGCATCATTCTCAGGGCTTTTGCTTAAACTTGTCCTAACATTTGCTGTACAACCTAGTTTGTCCTAACCTTATTGTGATGATATTACCTACCCAGTTTAGGGAATTTACTACTCTTTATTTGTCACCCTTTAACTTTAATTCCACAGTCCAGCACACTGGCATAGCAATACTGTCAACTGAAGCACTTTTACATGTGTATATACTGTATATGTATTGCTCTTCTTGTCAAACTGTACTTTTATTAATTTATTAAATTATGGTAACTATTTTTTCAATGGACTCTTAAAAACATATTTCCTGAAGAATCTCCATTTCAAAAACTGGCTGTTTTGTCTATTCACTCATTAAACTGAACTTGATTAGTAGCTAATGGCAAATACCACCCTCGTCAACACAAGAGAATGTGTCACAGATGGAAGAGTTAGTAGTATATAATCTGAGAGTGGAACAGTGTTTATTTTGCATGCAGACCTTGAGCATCATAGCTTGACATAATATTACATTACATTTAAGACATGAAAAAAAATGCCATTCTTTATTTATGTTTCATGAATTCAGAAAAATAAAATATGCTTTAACCCTTGCACTGCACAATTGTTTCTTGTTGCATTACATCATGATGCAATTGTTAATGAATTAACATTAACTGAAAATGTAAAAAAAAAAAAATAAAAAAAATTTCAAAATATTGTCTAGCTCAACAATTTTCATTTCAAATCACAGAGTGAAAAAATATTAAAAACATTAAAATGTTGCTTAACAAAAATGCACCACCCATCGAGCACCTAAGGCACTAAGCATTGCAGTGGTTAAAGGATTAAAGTACTGTACTGTAGTGTGCCAGTTGCAATACTATTTAGCATGCAGCTTCTGCTTTTCTTTTAGGTCAACAAAATGACATTAGAAGAAAAGGTTGATGATGGAGACCCATTGAAATTTCTGTTGAAGTCGGCCGACCCTCGGAAACCTAACCTCGCTGTTGTGTGTCAAGGAGCCACGGATGATGACAGAAACCAGTGGGTTTCACAGATTAGACACCTTCTTCAAACTCAAAAGGACTTCCTCAAGGCTATTCAATCCCCAATTGAATACCAAAAGGGGCAAACCAAGAATGTGTAAGTACTTTTTCATCATAGGTGGAGTGGTTATAGTCATGCATGCAGATTTATGGTGGAGGAGATTGACATTGGAATAGTTTTACTGTAGATGGCAGTGGAGATGAGTATGGTATTAAAAGGGTGGCGGAAAACTGATATTTGTGTATGGTTTGTAAAGATTACACTTAAGAAATGGTGGAATGGTTAACTTACACACTAGTGGTGATGGAGGAAATACGAAGACTCAGATACCAAGGTTTCATGGCTGGTGCAGATATTACCATGATTCCCACACTGGATCTCTATTCTTACCTTTCAAAAATTCCACTAGTTATATAGATTAGTTTGATAAATGATTTCTATGAATAGTGTGGAGAAAACTTAAATTGTTGAGATGGTATTTGAAAATTCTATTTTATTTTCAAAAATTGGGAATTTTAAAAATGGCTACAATAGGAACCTGTAAAAAAATTATTAATCCTAAAAACAAGTTTGTGTACTAAAATTTAAACCATTTTTGTTTGTATGTAAAGAAAGTACACAAATATTTAAAACATAAAATGTTTATAACCTTAAATTTGCCATGCTTGACTTTCAACTTTAACACTGGAAGTGAGAGTAAGTTGTCTTCGCATAAACTACGGAATAAGTGTCCTGTGTGAGAAGGTCTGTTCAGCAAATATTTTAATCAAATTACTGACTTGTGCCATATAAAAGGGAAGCCAGTTTGGCTGCCTCTTTCATCTTATTATTACTGTTTGTATCTACTGACAATAATGTGAGAGTTGTTAAGAAAGTTTGTTAATGAATGTGATGTCTCATTGGAGCCCAGTTATGCCTAGGGATTATAGAATATAACAACAAAATATTTACTTAAAGACTAATTATATATGATTCATTATTTATTTGTATAAATTTTTATTACATTTAAACTCCACATTATTTGGAAGATGTAAGGAATTCTTTGATTTTTCTAGTGCTTTTTTTGCACTTTTTTATTTTTGTAAGGGAGATGTGGATCTCTTTAATTATAAGTAACCAATCCAGTACCACTTGCAAGCTCATTCTCTTATGTGAAAGATGAAGATTCCTGAATTCTCAACAAGTTACATAAAACTTGTAAATTCAAATCAAATCATAATACATATGTACTGTCTTATTGATTAAATGGAGTTGCATTGCAATATTTTAAATAAATATTTCATATCATTTAACAGTACAGTACTTAAGTTTTGTCATAATCATTCACATTTCTTAGTTCTTTCTTGATGCCATTTTTTATAAGCTGTAGGATGTAGAATTTATTAAACTGTACAATAGGAGTTTAAGTACAGTCACTGTTGTTAATATCAGTTGGTGATGTAAGACAGCAACACAAGTAGTATCCCTCATCAAGTACTGTGGTGCGACAATGGCGGCCGCCACAGCACTTTTCGAGTCTCATTATCTTGGTTGCCATTCTCCGCTGATTACCCCTTCTATGGAGGGACAGGGGAGAGTGGATAAATGTTGTCCAAGTTACTACTGGTTGCTAGCAAATACAGTTTGAAATTGTATGAACCAAATTCAAGAATAAAAGTTGGTATCAAAGTTTTTAATGCAAGAATAAATAGTTCTTTAGAACTCTGAATCCATAGATTTCTGCAGTAACTCAAAGAAGGCTGTTCAGTGAGGATATTAATGCATATTATATACAGGTGATTGTACAGTTGCATCCAAATTAATTACCCTTATACCTGAGGACTCTGTGTTTGTATATAAAATATGGTATGATGAATAAAGTTGGTGATTTTTCCCATGCCTTTTTATATAAATATGTTTACAAGTACATCTGTTTACATATGTACATCTCTTAGAGGATATGCAAATGAACACATAATATAACATTACTGTTTGTATTGTTCTAGTATCCTGGTGCATAGAAGTTTGGCTGTTCAGTAAGCTTGGCCATCCTGAAACTTTTTTTGCCATTCCCAAAGCACCATGAAAGTAAAGCTTTTACTTTGTAATTTGCTTTATGTGGGTAGAGCTGTTCCCTGTTGAAATTAGGGAATATGGGACTTCCATCATACTATGCAACTATGTATACACTCTCTTCCAAATTTAGTTTTCTTTCAAAAAATTAGAGGCAGTATGTGCATGATTTTAAGTTATGAAATACTATTTAGGATGTAAGAATTTCCCAAATAACTTCATAATATGCAAAAGTAACCAAGATTTTCCCACATGAACTAAATAGTTTGCATTGGTAGTTTCATTTACATTGGAAGCACTGTAATTGGATTTTTTTTTTTTTTTTACTAAAAATGTAAAAAGCATAAAATAATAGGTAAATTTCCCCCTAACCTTCTACGTAATAGTAAAACTAAACAGTAATATGTTTACAAAGCAGTGTGTTATGAAGAACATGCATTACACAGCAGTTAGTAAATGGTAGTTACAGCTGCAGATGTGGGTAAGTTCTTTGATCTTGGATAGTAGCATTTTTTTTCTTTTATGTTAACTGAATTTGGCTATTGAAATTTGAGAGCTTGTTAAAAAATAATTTGTTTTCTCGGGGACAAAAAGCATGTGTGTTTGTATACCTTAGGCTTGTATCAAGGCCTGTACCCACCCACCCAAGGTTGAATTACTGACCCTCCCCAGGATGTAACCCGACAACAGTTGCCTGACTCCCAGGTATCTATTTACTGCTTGGTAAACAGATGCAGTAGATGAAAGGAAAAATGCCCAACCAGTTTTATTCTACCCAGGAAATTAACCCGAGACTCATGATTGCAAGTCGAGAATGAAGCCAATTGTACTACAAGTTTTCATTGTTTCTTAAATTTGTTTTTTCAGTAACACAAAAATTGTATGAGTATTCCTTTCTCTTTCATTGGACTATGGTTTCATTTCAGTCACCAGAATGTTGGTACCATGTTCTTTACATTTACATTGCTCTTGCAGTGAATACCATTTTTAAATTTTGTTTTTTCTTCATTTCTTTTACTTTGGGATTTCTGTCTAATTGCAGTACTTTCTACTCTCTCACTTACATATACTTGCTGTCATAAGCCTCACTTTTTTTTTTTTTTTTTTTTAGTGCTATATAGTCTTACTGGTTTAGTGTTTTCTCCTTGTAATTATCTTATCTTTTTCAAAGTGCAAGAGGCAATATATTTATAGGACATCAAGTTAAACATATAGAAGCTTTTAGGACTCTTTCTGCAGCACTAAAAAAGTATACGTTTTGGCTGGAGATCTTATAGAAGACTACCCTCATAAGAAATGAAGCTACTTTCCGAGCATACTAAAAAAGATAAACTGTTCAGATTATAAATACTGATCAGGTATCTAAGATTAATAAATCTAATAAAGTTAACTTAAATTTAACTTTATACGTTACAGTATTATTGTAGAGTCATGACAGGCTGGCCAAAAAACTCATGATTGCAGGACTGGAAAAAGTAGACCATACAGTAAACAGATTGAGTCTTGGAATTCATTACTAAAGAACAGTAAAGTATTCCAGTGGAGTGATTTACAAAATGTTCATACTGGAAACTTTTTGTTAAAAATATAATGATGAAGAACACTGAGTACTACTCTAGTTGGACAATATTCAAGAAATTTTTAATTTGACTCATTTTAATCAGTATGATTTTTGATGCTTAGATGTTTATTATTAATTAAAGAAGTATGAAAATATTTAAATTAACACAAAATTGTAATAAAACATCTCTCTCCAATTATGGTATGTTGTTTTGACCTACATCATGCACTGTTTAGAATGGAAATTAAAATACATTGTTTTGATTTTTCTTTGATACGTAGTGATTAGTTTGTGCAACAAAGACTTTACTCCCTGGCAAGTCAAAAACCTTCGGTCTGAGTTTAGATTGTGAATGAACTTAACAATGTTTTCAGAGCTTACCAGTTTTTAACTTCTGATTCTTTATATTTGGAGGAGAGTGTATTTTTTAAGTAGAAATTAAGTGAGAACTCATCAATGCATGAATTATGATGTATAGTTGCAAGTCATCGTAATTTTATAATTAATGAACTAACAAAAATACTACGTAAGAAGAATCACTTTAATTATATATATATATATATATATATATATATATATATATATATATATATATATATATATATATATATATATATATATATATATATATATATATAGTATTTAACATATAACTGACTTACATTACATAATCAAATAGAATGAAACATGAAGTCCCTTAATCCTTGGCAAGTGATGCCGAAGGGTAAGGACTAACGTGTGCCTCTTTGCTCGATTGCATGAGAGTAATTGAATATGAGGCACTGGATACTATTTTCATATGTACAGTACACCTGTTTGACTGGGCGTGAATGGATGATCAGGTGACATAATACCCTGATGACAAACACAACTTTATCCTTCATGTGCTCTGTCTACTTGTGCTCTGCCTTTTGGATGACAAAGATGGCAGTAAGAAATCGGGATGAATTACTGCTGTTTATGCTCACAAATTAGGCATTAAAAGTTGAATTAAGGTCCAGTAAAAAAAATTAAAAATTACTCGACTGCCCATATTTAACAAGATAAATATAGCATCCTATACAGAAATTTGATACAATCTAATTAAACACTGATATAAAAGATGATAATATACCATAGCATAACTAACTTACTAGATGCAGACCCCCAGCTTCCTACTGGAGTTTTTTTTACAAGACTCCAGATTAAACCAAACCTTGTGTATTTGGATCACATAGTAAGTACATGAGTTGAATGTTCTGTCATGTCTTCCCAAACTGTCCTTTGAAAAGTGACATAATTGTTATGTTGATCCTTGAAAATGACTGTTCATACATGCATGTGTAATTGTATATACTGTATATATTTTGTCACGATGAAAATGAACACCAAAGTGATGGCAAATATCTTGTAAAATCTGAAATTATACTTCTTCATAATATTTTTGAAGCCTTTAGCAGTTTTTTATTAATTTGTGTGAGAGTTTTCTACTGTTTATTTTTCATGAAATAAGTGATGTACGTGCTTGTCATAACTTTTGTATTTTGTCAATAACCATCTTATTCAGCCATTAACATGGGTAGTTTGTTATAATCCATTTATCTCATTTATTACCAAGTTTTTACCTGTATATTTTAACTAAAGTTTACAACAGTTCTTCTATTTATCCAAATTTTAATCTTTAAGCTTTATGCTTAAACTTTAAATGTGTTTTTAACTTAATTTCAGTAATTTGTTTTGCATACTCTTTTTATTTTACCTTTTTAGATTTGATGATATTAGATTTGTCATTCAAAATGGAATGATGAAGGATAATAAAGTTCTGATTTTACAAGAGGTTGTTATCACTTTGATATAATATTTTCATCTTGAAACTAAGATTAACAAGAGAAACTTCGATTGTAAAATATATATACTATATATACCGTACTGTGTTCATTATGTATTTAATTTAGTATTATTGACTTATTTTTGTATAGATTGTACAAGCAAAATTAAGGGTTTTAAAAATTAAAGAAAGTTAATTATTACTGAAGGATCAATATATATAATTATTTCACAAATAATTGTAAATGTACAGCTTGCAAGGTACAGTATTTGTATACCCTTTCAGGCATATATTTCTGTAGCAATGAAGATTCAACATAGAATTTCCATGCTTCATAATACAGTATTGATGGTAGAATAATATTTAGCTTAGTCTGAACTTAGTACCTGTGTAAATTAAACATGCTAGAAAATCAAGTTGAAACTGTGGAGACAACTTAATGGTGTAATATACATATATACATACACACATACATACCTAGAGTATATATATCGTACCTAGTAGCCAGAACGCACTTCTCGGCCTACTATGCAAGGCCTGATTTGCCTAATAGGCCAAGTGATTTTCTTTATTTTCAATAAATTGTTTCCTATTGGTTTATTTTAATTATTATTATTATATTATATTAAGAACATAAAATATTGATTTAGTTATGTTAGTTTAGGTTAGGTTAAGATAAGTTAGGTTAGGTTAGGTAGGGTTGGTTAGGTTCGGTCATATATCTACGTTAGTTTTAACTCAAATTTTAAAAAAAATTAGCTCATACATAATGAAATGAATAGCTTTATCATTTCATAAGAAAAAATTTGAAAAATATTGAAATTCTGGAAAACTTGGCTTATTAAGCAAATCAGGCCTTGAATAGTAGACCAAGAACTGTGTTCTGGCTACTAGGTACAACATATATATATATATATATGTCGTACCTAGTAGCCAGAACGCACTTCTCAGCCTACTATGCAAGGCCCGATTTGCCTAATAAGCCAAGTTTTCATGAATTAATGTGTTTTCGACTACCTAACCTACCTAACCTAACCTAACCTTACTTTTTGGGCTACCTAACCTAACCTATAAAGATAGGTTAGGTTAGGTTAGGTAGGGTTGGTTAGGTTCGGTCATATATCTATGTTAATTTTAACTCCAATAAAAAATATTTCACCTCATACATAATGAAATGGGTGTCTGTATCATTTCATAAGAAAAAAATTGGAGAAAATATATCAATTCAGGAAAACTTGGCTTATTAGGTAAATCGGGCCTTGCATAGTAGGCAGAGAAGTGCGTTCTGGCTATTAGGTACAACATATATATATATATATGTCGTACCTAGTAGCCAGAACGCACTTCTCAGCCTACTATGCAAGGCCCAATTTGCCTAATAAGCCAAGTTTTCATGAATTAATTGTTTTTCGACTACCTAACCTACCTAACCTAACCTAACTTTTTCGGCTACCTAACCTAACCTAACCTATAAAGATAGGTTAGGTTAGATTAGGTGGGGTTGGTTAGGTTTGGTCATATATCTACGTTAATTTTAACTCCAATAAAAAAAAATTGACTTCATACATAATGAAATGGGTAGCTTTATCATTTCATAAGAAAAAAAATCGAGAAAATATATTAATTCAGGAAAACTTGGCATATTAGGCAAATCGGGCCTTGCATAGTAGGCTGAGAAGTGCGTTCTGGCTACTAGGTACGACATATATATACATACATACATACATACATACACACGCACACACGTACCAGTATAATATTATACTGTACTCTAAAACCCATAATTAATGAAAAATTCAAGATTATTAAAGTTTGTTTTTTAAAAGACATATTTTTATAGCACCTCTACACTTTTCTTCATGTTTTGCCTCTTGAAATTACAAAAGATAAGCGCTTAGCATTGCAAAGAATTTTAGCTGTAGCCTAGTACAGTTTTGAGTTATAACTTGGGCACAGTAGCAGCGTAGATAACCTATAAAGCTCTTTTTTAATTAGACATGATATTTGTAATAACCTTTATTATCTGTCTTTTAGAATAATTTATTGTGGTAGTTAATAAAATGTTCGGTTCACTGTGGTGTCGTTGAACGTAATAATGTACAGTAGATCCATCAGCAGTTATACATCAAATGTGGCAATTTTTGTTTAAATAAGCTTGCATTAATCACTTATAATAAAACACATGCAAATTTTAGCAATTAACAACATAATAATAAATGTTATTAAACATATATATATATATACTGTATATATATACTGTATACTCATATGTGATTTTTTTACTTAAAATCTTATATCATGCTAAAAAAAATATTATCTGGCAATTAAACTAGCTGTGCAGTGGGAAAATTGCTTGGGAGTCTTTAGGATAAGTCACAAAAGTACAGTAGTTTAAAGTTATTGAAAAAAGGTGTTTCATTTTTACATATAAAACACCTGTTGAATCTTCTTTGGCAGATACAGTATGGCTTAGTAACAGTGCTCCTTGCTAACAGTTGCCTTTAATGTGCTTTGCTTCTTAAGAATATTTTTCCAGCATGCCTTTGATGTAGTAATGATGACATCCTAAACACACTATTTTAAGATAACAATTAATACTGAAAGACTGTAGTTTTTGTTTTAATGTTTACATGACAGGCATAATGAGTCTTGACCAATTGTTAGATTCTTCCACCCTTGTATTTGGATTCTTTTTACAGGCTTAACTGTCTCAAGATTTCATGCCAAAAAAATATATAAAATAAACCAGGATAAATAAAATTTGTGAACTGTAAAAGGCAATATACTATAAAAGTAATCTTAAATATGATATATAGAGTATAATGAAATAAAGTGTGGGGGCAAGTTGTTTGTGTGCGGTAATTGCTATTAATTTCATGGAAGAGCATTGATGTAAATTTAAAACGAGTTTATTTTGCAAGAAAGTAATTCTCAGATAATAATTACATTGATTAATGCATTAAATTTGAGGCTGAATATATGTACAGTTCTATTCATTGTGTTGACTTCATATGATTTTACAGAACGGATCATCCAGAGCGAGGCGGCAGCTGGAATGCTTCTCTGCGTAAATCTCTCAGTCAGCCACCCATTTCACACCGTGCTCCAGTCACAAAAAAGAAAGCTAATACCATTGATATTCCTTCTAGGTGAGAAGCCCGAGATAAATGTATACAAGTAACTCACCATGAATCCTTTATATTGCATACCTAACAAAATTGTTAGTATAATGAAATGGCCTTCCTAAACATAAGAAAATAAGATAAAGGAACTGCAGAATGTCTATCGAGTCATACAATGAGAAGTAGCTCCTATTTATATCCACTCAAACCTATTCATGTATATGTCTAACCTACATTTGATGCAAAACGGCAATCTTCCGTCTGTTATGTTATCCATTAATTTGTTTTTAAATCAACAGCCCTATTTCAACCTAGTATTTCTTCAGATCTTTCCTGAATAAAATATATATATATATATATATATAGACATGCATTATTATATGCATTATTATATATGCATATAATAATAATATGCATGTCTCATTAAATATGACAGCATATTCCGTATTTGCTATTTTCTGATTTAGGGCTTCTATCCTTCTTACTAATGTTCTTGCATCAGGGTTTAGCTGGAAGAGGAGTTCACCAAAAGTCATGTTGTTTTTAGGTGAAGAAAAGAATTAATAACTTAAGAACATATTACACTAATTACAAAATCGCACAATGTTTCGAACCTCCATGGTTCATTCTCAAGTGAAAAGAAATTAAAGAACTCGTTAATTTATACCAGTATCTGTCAACATAATCCCACCTACATTGTTCACTATTTACCTTCCCCTTTTAACCCACTATGTCTATTGTTAACCTTTCTGTAAAATAATTTCTTCTTCCTACAGTTCTCACTTAACTGTCTTCCAAATTCCTCATTCTTTAAATATTTTCATCTCTAACCATTCTCCTTACAATCATTCTCTCTTACATAACTTGGCATATCTTTTTGCAGCAATATTTGCTGTGCATCCTTTTTTTTAATAGCCTAAGACATATTCACTGAAATATGCAGTACTACTCTTATCACCATTTTTCACCAATTTTCAACCACACATTTTTGTTTCTTATAATATAAATAACTATAATCAAGCAGGTAGAAGTTATATGATTAGTAACTTAATTATTGCCACTGTGCTATGAAAATGGATTATTGAGAGGGGATTACCCATGGTTTAGGTTTGAAACTCCATTGGCAAGTTATATTTTTACATTGTGCGACATTCAAAACTATGAATATTAGTTTCACATAAGTAATTACTATTTAGGATTAATGTTACCACAAAATAAATGTTTATTGCAGCCAAAGTAGCAGCAGCAGTAGTGGATTTAATGCTCCTACATCACCTATGGCAACTGGTTCATCAACTTTGAGTATGAGCTCTAAACCACCACCACCTCCACCAGCCCCACCTTCATCATTTGAAGGATCTAGGATACCTACTTATGTCCCTATTAAGAAGCAAGGATCAGTAGATAAGCTTGATGTACCCTCTAGTCCACCCAAACTTAAAAAGAACTTTTTTGATGGCTTTCGAAGTACCTTACGACCAAGAGTAAAAGCAGACGGGATAACAAGGGGACAGGGAGAAGATATTCCTGAAGGAGTGGAAACTCTTCTTCTGTCACCAAGACAAGAGAGTAAAGAGGACATTCATCCTCGAAGATGGTCAGAGTCGGGATCTCCCACAAAGTCGGTAAGAGCAAGCTCATCCTTTGTACACTAATCATGGTTTCCTGGTTTAGTGTCTGTATTAAAGTGTGTTGTTGTCTCTGTTTTGTAATATTTTAAAATATTAGGTTCATTAAAGCCTGATATAATAATTAAGATTTTAACTAATAAACAATTAGGAAATATTTTGTATGTAAATACAGTATTTTTTTTTTTTAACTTAAGTGTGGATGATGTCAGTACTGAGAGTAGTTTACAATGTAAATCTCTAATGGGGATTAGATGTTTTAATCTGCTAAAATTTATATTAAAGTTTGATTATTTTTTTATTTACAATAATAGAGGGAGAGGAATCAGTGCATTGGATAATTTAGTTACAATCTATGCATAGCATTCAATGACTGCTAATTACTCCAACAGGATGCAGTGCACCATTGTTAAATTGTCTGCCACCACCATGAGAGGCATTTTGGCTTCCAGTCAAAATGCTTTACTATCACTGTTAAAGCATCAGTACTTTTGACACCTTCACATATTGAGATGAATCAAATGTTGTATAATCACTATTAAAACATAAGTGCTTTTACAGCTTCACGATGAGATGAATCAAATAAGCATTAATAGATTTGCTTGTCTTAATCATCTGAATTTAAATACCAAAGATTAGCACAATTGAGCATGGCCTTTATCACTAACAAAATACTCGCAAATTCATGTAACGGCTTTCTCAGTCATTCCATTAAAAATTCAGGTGATCACTGACATTGTTTCATTATAAAATATTATGTACTGTATATACGTTTACACAATATCAAATGTACAATCCTCAAATTGTTTCCTTCTCAATCAATTTTAAAGCACTTTACCTATCATGCCTATTTATATGAAAGATGCATATACAAGTGCACATTTCTAAGACACTTTGTACTGTACAGTACAATCACACTGCATTTGCATCATGTATACACATATATCTGCACATATGCATTTCTGCACACAGTTGACACAGGGTGCGTATTTAAGAGGATTTAAGGGTGTGACAATTGGTGGTTCTCTGTGAAGATGGTGTGGCAACCTCTCCTGTTTTTCCCTAAGACTTCCAGACCACTGTGAACGTATATATTCTTTTTCTTCATCTGTGTAGAACCGCTAAGTCCAGAATAGTTGGCCTCAATGATTATGATTTATCTTGCACATACAATTTTTAGTAACAGAGCACTGATGATAACTGAGAAATCTTGATCTAAATTGTACCTTAATGTTTGTTTATTTATATCAAATGATCCATATTTGCAAATTCATTAAAAGCTGGAATTTGGTGATTATCATCAGCTGGTTTTATGTTTATTATTCAGTGAACCAGCAAGGTAAAAGTCATAAGAATGATAGAGAGAATCATACCTAGAGTACGGTCTTTATTAGAGGGGGATCTGTTAGTGCAATTGCAAACTGATGATTAAAACCACAATAAAATGCATGATACAAGTGTTCGTTCACCATAGGTGGCAAATTAGTCTGGCCTACATATTTCCCAGTTGGCTGAAAGATATATTCTAGTTGTTTATGATATGGCATGACATTAAATATAATTACATAGAGGAAAAATTAAGATGTATGCAATGATTTATCAATTAAAAAAAATGTTTTCTATACAATAATACAAAAATTAAGGATACAGTATATTAACTCCTGTTTATAGTCAGACATACTTTGCTGACAGTAAAATAAATGTAAATTCCTAAAAATACTAAAAATACTTTAAATACTGTAAATACCTAAAAATACTTTAAATTAATAAGTATAACTCCCAAAATTTTATAAAACTTGTGATATCTAAAATAATAAAATAGAATAAAATAAAATAAAGAATAAAGAATAAAGCAATAAAGAATAAAGAATAAAGCATAAAATAGAATAAAGCAACCAGCTTAGAGTCATTCAACATAGCAGTGTGGTATGTGAACTCGTTCTGGACCACGAGAAATCTGTTCCATTGAGATTTTCATAAATGTTTCCCTTTAATATTAGAAAATTTGTAGATGTTTGCTTTCGTAACATAAAAGGTAATCAAATCATTAGGAATATAAAAACAAATTTAAGATTTTTTCTTTATCTTTATCCCACACTATTTGCACATATTGCTGCATTAATTGAGCAAAATCTTAAATTTAACCCCTAATATGATACACAGTGATGAAGTCAAAAACAAATTAAATCATACAATCCTGCATTGAAAAGTGTTAAGCAAAGTTACAATTTGGTACAAACCATTTGTGAAAACAAGCTAATTCAGTAGGTAATGTATTAGTAAAGGTTTTTGTACTTTTTTATCCATTCTATATTATGTAAATTTGTGTTCTCAGCCCCTTCTTCTCCCAAAAATAAAGCTCTGAGAGTATTAAAATACCCCTCTATAAGCAGGCCATCAGTTGTTCCAAATCAAAGCCAAAGCTGACCTAGGACAATGTCCAAACACCAAGCCTATCAACCTTAAACCTCAGTACAACAAGTATCTTTTCACATGGACATGGGTCATCTGACTACCTGATTAAAATGGAGGAAGCCTAAGAGTAGACACCAACTGACACAGAAAGGAGCAGCCCACAGTCTGACCTGTATTGTAATGTCAGAAGCTACAAGTCAAAAATAGGTCCTGGAAGATTCATCCACCCTCACTTGGGTCTTGCACATCTGTGGTTAGACTGACCCCAAACTTTAAAAGAAGAGTACTCGAGACAGCAGGTGAAAGCCCAAGGAATAAAGAATACTGGCACACACTATAAAAAAAAGTTCTAGGTGCAAAATGAGTGTGCTCAGCATGTGCTCACTGAAAATCTCTGTCTTGCTAATGACAGAGAGAGAGTACAGTATAATCAGAACCTAAACAAAAAGAAGAGAAAACAAGACTTCTACACCCTGAATCAAAATATTCAGCTAAGGAGAGCTGCCTCGGAAGTACCCAACCAAGACTATTTGCATGAATATAAATACTGTAGAGCACAAGACCAAGGCCTAGGTTGGAGACAAAATCCCTGCAGCACTACTAAAGGAGTGGCCCGATTCAAGAGGAATCAGACCACACTGTATGCTATTAACCTTAGAGGAGGTATGTCTTGTGATCATTAGTCTCTGACTATCTGCTGCCAGATAACCAAACAGAGGTAGAAATTATAATTTTGATGCACACAAATGACTGGGCACCACACCATTAAGAAATTAAGCAATGGAACTCCTTATGCAGAGAGAGAATGAAGGAAAAAAAGTCTTATTTAACAGAACCAGTATTTGCAGAACTATGATAGTTTACAGAACATTGAGATGTTTAATATGTTCTCTTGTGCCATACTGAATATTATCATTTGAATCAAGTACCCGAACTCCCCACTCCTATACTTTGCAGAAAACCATTTTAAAAGTTCCTTGTCATGGTGAAGTTAATGGCAAGAGGGCTTGGTGTGAAGGCAGTGTGCTGGGTGGACCCTAGCCCTGCAACAACTGAGGTGGTTCCCTAGCACAGTTTATGCTACTGTTCAAACTTTACATTTATATTCAGTAGATATGGTAGTAGTAAGTTACATGTGAAATGCAAAATAAATTTAGGGACATGAAATTTAGGTGGTGGATAATGGCCTGATGAGATAAGTTCAGAGTAAAACTTTGAAATGAGTTCAGTTAAAGCTGGAGAGAGCCGAGCTTTCTTCCAACCCCGATGCAATTAGAAAATGATTAGTCTAAGACTGAATTAATTCATCTCTGCATTCATACATTTTCAACATTAAATATAAATGTACATATGAAGAATAAATTCAATTTTATCTTATACTGTAGTTACATATAAATATAAATGTATTATTATTTAATTCATATGCAATTCTAATGGGTGAAATTGTGATTTTGAACATGATTCAGTCTTGGACAACAATAGATACAGTCTCTGACCATTACAACAAATTCCTTATAACCTCATGATAGACAGCTGTCATACTCAATGAAAATTGGGATTAATAATATATTACCAGTTAATATTTTTATCTATAAAATTAAAAAAAATACCTCCCTGTACTCTATATAGTTTGACAGTTTTTAAAGATTGGATTTGCATCATAGTACTGTAATTTAAACACTTATTTGTAAAATTATTTGACTTTCCTATGTTTACTGCTTATTTGTACACACCTTTACATGATTAAGCAGAAAATACGACTAAATTCCTGCTCTCTCCTATGTCTCTCTCTATTCATGGTTTTCTAGTTTTAACAACTATACATTTTTGCCTTCCTGTGCTGAAACTTACCATGAATGTTATGCTGTCAATAAAATCTCTTTTTATCTTGTAACATTAACATTTGTTACAATATAGCCACATCATATCTTTTCACTTACATCAGTCATGTTAAAAGTAAAAAAGTGAATTGAACGTAGTGGAATGCTCTCTTCATTTTTATTCATTGTTACATTATTCTGCCTACTCTATTTCCTCTAATGTAGTGATGATTATGCAACATATTGCTATTTACATTTATCTCATTTCTTGTGAGCTCATTAATGCTGAACTTATGGTGGAAAGCGTAACTGAGGATAATGGTTGCATGTTATATAATGTGTACCAAGATGCTGGCCTTCTCATTTGAACACTCAGGCATCCTGGTATGTCCTTCCCACAGATATATACCATTTCAGCATTATTACTTAAATGCAAAGAAATACTGACCTTAATTTTTTTAATGAGAACTGGAAAGTCATTTCAACATTCAATTTAAATTACTTTGTGAATGTAATATATGTAAAGTGTGAAGTCAAATTGTAAAAGATGTTTAATACAAGTATTGTAAAAATATTTATAATTTTATAGCTGTAGTTACCTGTATATTAAATATCCTGCCAAGTTTTACCTTGGGCATTGCTCACAGAATTTAACAGTTGATTATGTCTAACTTGAACCTCTTTAGTTTGATAGTGAATATTAAAGTCTTTTAAAATATAATTCCAAATTCTATTCTCTCGTGGCTGCCTGTATGTACTGTA